GGCGGTGCTGGAGCTGCCCGGGGCAGCGGGAGTCGGGCTGGCCTGTCTGCGGGGGCCTCTTAAAAAGGGATGGGCTGCCGCAGCTTGTCTGTTTAAGGAGCGGTTACGCGGCTCTAGGAGGAGATTAAGACAGTCCAGATCAGACTGTTTTTAAGGCTCCGGTGGGGCTTTGCTGTGGCAGTTACCTCTGTAACTTCTGCGGGGACCTAACTAGATAGCTGAGTGAGAGGTGCAGCCTTGTGGCGCACCCAGCGTCAGTTTGAGCTGGGCACTCTCAAACTTCTGACAGATTTTTTTTTTTTTTTACATTTTAACACGTTGAGGTTTTAATGCTGCTCTGTGCACTGGTCCAGATGTCTTTGTATAGTTACAGTGGTTTTCTTGCTATAGCAACTCCTGGATGATTACCCAAAATGTTTCATCGTGGGAGCAGACAATGTGGGATCCAAGCAGATGCAGCAAATCCGTATGTCCCTGCGTGGGAAGGCTGTTGTGCTGATGGGGAAGAATACTATGATGCGCAAAGCTATTCGTGGTCATCTGGAGAATAACCCTGCCTTGGAAAAGTGGGTATCGCTGTCTGAATGTACTCCTGGCACCTCTCTCTGGGAGGAGGAGATGTTGTCTGAGAAGCAGAACTGAAGGCTGTCATCTTTCCTTCAGGCTGCTGCCTCACATCCGTGGGAATGTGGGCTTTGTCTTCACCAAGGAGGATCTGACTGAGATCCGGGACATGCTGCTGGCTAACAAGGTAGGGGAGATCAGCCCTCACCATGTCTCTGGGCTGGCAGGGATGGAATTAAAAACAAAAACTGAATCTTCATGGGGGATACCTGATTAGTAGGAGTCCTCAAGGGTTGGGAACTAGGCCCCCGCAGCCTTAGCCAAACTGCTTAAGTTCAGCTGTCTCACTTGTGCATGCCTGGGTGCTGTCCGTCCGGGAGGAGTGCTTCAGGAAGGAGTTGATGCCATCCCACGAGATCTGAGAGGTGAGCACACTTCCAGCTTCTTGTTTCCCCTTTCTCCAGGTGCCAGCTGCTGCCCGTGCCGGTGCTATTGCTCCTTGCGATGTGACTGTGCCGGCCCAGAACACTGGTCTCGGACCTGAGAAGACCTCCTTTTTCCAGGCCTTGGGCATCACCACGAAGATTTCCAGAGGGACCATTGAAATTCTGGTTAGCGAGCAGCGTGCTGCTGCGGTTGAAGCTCTTCCTGGACTGGAGGGCCCTGACTGAGGCAGCTGCGGGAGCGGTCAAGATCACAGCCCCCATTAGTGCTGAAATACCGTAGTAGCAGTCTGGCTGCTGCACACTGGGGACTTGGAGGAGGGTGTCTGGCTTGGCTCAGGCACGCAGTGTGGGGGGATTTAGGTTCTCCATCAGATCTCAGCTGTGTGGGTGGGCTCTGCTGGAGGAACTCGCAGGCGAGCTGCCTGTAGTAGTGCAGGAAGGACGCTGCCTTCCTCCTAGCTGAGAGGTGCCTGCTTGCATGGTCTAGGGCCTTCTCAACTTGCGGAGCTGAACTCGGAGCCTGTTTTTGTTGGCGCTCGTTTGTTCCTTCAGTTCCATCTTTTGCCATTGGAAATGTGCGTTTGTGTCCTGTTGCGTTGACGTGCCTGAATTTCTTTGCGCATATTCACTCCTTTTCCCCTTATTTCCTCAGAGCGACGTGCAGCTCATCAAGACTGGAGACAAAGTGGGTGCCAGCGAAGCCTAACATGCTGAACATCTCCCCCTTCTCTTTCGGGTTGGTGATCCAGCAGGTCTTTGACAATGGCAGCATTTACAACCCTGAAGTGCTGGACATCACCGAGGAGACCTTGCACAAGCGCTTCCTGGAGGTGAGAGCCACAACCCGTATCCATTAGGTTCGACCTCTCTGCCTCGCGGCTGCGGCAGCCAGCACTGCCCCAGAATGAAGCATTTTCCGCGAGGTCCTGCAGAGCCAGGGGCTCTCCCTGGTGCCCTGCAGAAACAGCCTGTCAGGGAGTACCTTCTGTAGGCTTTTTCCTCTGAAGCTTCTACGGGAAGCGTTTGGGGCCATTTAAATTTCGACACCTTGTCTAATTTCATTGGAGCTGTGTCACCTGTGTGCATTGCACGCTATCCCTCGTTCCATTGGCAGTGTAGAAACGTGCCATCGTCTGCCGTGGTTTTTAGCCCAGGTTATTTCTCGGAGCACGGAAACATGACTCTCTCTCCTCGCAGGGTGTTCGTAACGTTGCCAGCGTCTGTCTGCAGATCGGGTACCCGACCATTGCTTCTGTGCCCCACTCCATCGTCAACGGGTACAAGCGGGTCCTGGCCGTGGCGGTGGAGACCGACTACACCTTCCCGCTGGCTGAAAAGGTAATGGCTGAGCGATCTGCTCCGAGGGGCGTTAAAAACGCAGCCGGGCACTTTCACAGAAACACCTTGCTTGTCACCTAGTTTGAAAGGACTCGGACCTGCCTCTGTGCAAGGGACCTGTCCTGAAAAGGGGCGTGTGCTTGCTTACATCGTGTGCGAATGGCAGGAGAAAGCTGAAGTGCCTGGCGTTCCTTCCTCCCTGGGGCTGTTACACTTGAGTGTAGCTGAAATGTCTCTGATTCTTCATGTGTGGCAGTGATGAGTGCGTCTGTTTGGCTTCTGGCAAGCTGCAAGCATTGCCTTTGCGATTGCAAAGTTCAGTCCTTCAAAATGTTTGTTTCCCTTGAGTTTATTTCTTTCTCCCCCCCTCTTTTGCAGGTGAAGGCCTTCCTGGCAGACCCCTCCGCTTTTGTGGCGGCCATCC